AAAACTTCCTTTCAGCACACAAAATCAGTACTGATTGCAACACAAAAACTGTAGAGGATTGTTTTTCTCTCTTTCCTTTTTTATTGGTGCAAAACACCATGACATGTAGTTTAAAGTTTTAAGTTTTGTCTACACTTTTACACTCAAGTATGGGGAATACATTGAGGGGAACTCAAAAACAGAAAAACACAACTATTACAGGGCTTCAAATATATATAAATAAAATGTAGATGATTATAGGAAAAGACAGGGGTCATTTAAGTAGATACTCATATGGCTACTAGCTATAGTACAACTGTCTGATAGTTACAGTTTAGGGTAGGTGGTCTGTTAGTGAGCATGTGTAAGTGTGTCAATGTGCATTTGAATGTGTGTTTTTGGGGGAGGGGGAGAAAAAAACAAAAGACATAACAAAATAAGAATAAGTTTGACCATGTAAGCAGATGAATAAATAAAACAAACGTATTTGTAATATTTATAATTATAGGCATTGCATGTGATGCTAGCCTTTGGGATGCAGATGTAGATATACTGAGAAATACTACATAAAAGCCATTTCCATAAATAACTTACAATATGCTTTATCACTGAGAATCACATATTTACAACTTACCTTCAGTTCATTTGCTTCAATGTAGCCACTGCGATCTGTATCATATCGCCGCCATGCCTAAAATAAATCAACAGAACAAAAGAAATATCGGCTTGAAAACAGTTTTTCAGCACTGATGCACAAAGGGAGAGTAATTTACATATCTCCCCGCCTACATAAATCCTCACTGATCGAACCCCAGCTTGCTCTTTAACTGCACCAAGAGTTTGATTTTCCTCTGGTGCAGGGCAGAAATCGTTCCAGAGGGGACGACCACAAAAGCCCGCACCATCACTGTAATCACACAGTTTTCAATACAATCCCGTTCGCCCGCATACAGAGCAGAGGGCAACGAGAGACAGAGAGAGAAATGAGGGAGGGAGAGAAAGTCAATTTAATGAATGTTTTAATCTAGCAGCTGTCCCTGTCCAAAGAAGGGCTCCTTATCAAAGATGGATGGCCTTCCCCCTTCTCCCTCTTCTCCTCCTCCCCCTTTGCTCCTCCTCTGGGCTCTGCAGAGAGGAGCTACAGTGGTGTTATCCATTATATATGACTCTGAAAATAGAAGGTTCTGCTTCCTCATTCTAACCCTTTAAAAACCTCTCCGCCCTGCACCCTTCGACAAAGACTGATTAATCCTCCTCTCTTGTTTTATGTTCTCAAACTCTGGCTCTTAACTTCCCATCGACATTTCATTTACGTCCCATCTCTTCCTGCATTCTCTTCGTTTGCCCTTTGTATCCTTCTCTCTACACGCCTTCTCTTTCACTCATCCTCCTTCTCTCGTTTCATCATTCCTTTCCGATATGACACATGAGACAAAGACGGGCTCTTCCCCACATGTAATTGGTTTCTAATTGGCCTTTTTCTTTCCTCACAGCAGATCTAACACAAAATCTGCCATTTTCTTATCTTCTGACAGTATTTTGTGGAATAAATTATTTCCTTTTTCTAGTACCTTTCAACACACATCTTGCTGAAGGCTTTTTGTTACCTTGTTACTCCTACAATCATTCATTATTCATAATTCACAGCAGCACTAAACTTATTTATACCATACTTTTTTTATAAATGGTTTCTTAAACACACAACTTGGCTTTTATACAGTAACAGAACAGACTTTATTTCCTGTGAGATTTTGCTGGCAACTTGTAACATACAATTCATTTCACACCTCCTTTCAAACTTTACTAAAGGGATTTACTTTTTTACACTCTTTCAAGTGCAGTGTCTGACTTTTGCTTGCTTTTTTTGTAATACAACTGCTGTGTGCAGTGGAGGCATAGAGTCTGTGGTTCTCTTTCCAGACTACTACAGTTTATTTCACTAATTAGTACACCTTCAACCATACACAAGAATTAATCTGTGAAATTTGCTGGTAGGTAGAAATGAGAACATGCAGGCTGTCTCCCTTCCACGGCTGACTGCCTCTGTCTATAATGTATGGTTGGTTAAGTAAGTATCTCCCGACTAATGGCGTTTCTTAGTGAACAAGAAGCAATTGTACAAAAAGTATTGTACAGAACTGATCAAACGACAGAGTTTTTAAGAGGAGACAGCAGCTTTGCATCAAAATCCACACACACTCAGAAACACACTCTTACCGCCATAAACTCAGCACTGGAGCTGACAAACTGTCTGAAGCAGAGCAAGAAGTTCTCTTCAGTTGGGAGAATCTGGGCCAGCTAGAAAGAGAAATGACAGGAAAATGGGAGTGGTTAGAACACAAGATGGTGGGGATGATAAGCAGGAGTGGGGAGCCTCAAATGGGCAACTCTGACATCAATAATAGAGAGCCATGACCTCAGAAGCCGGGTAATGCCTAACTTTGAATTATTTTTGAAAATCACGCTTTTGGATGTTCAGACAAAGCCTTTACACCTGATTTTCACATCAACAAATGAAACAAAAATGTATTTGCAGACTTTCCATGTGAGTGGTGGATTATTGATATTGCAGAAGCTCGCCTTGCATCTGTTTCAAATCCCGGCCCTGAAAATTGTAAAATCGAGGGAAAGCAATATCCCAAACTGACACTCCATAGAGACTATCACAAAGACTGTATTTATCCATCGATTTGAGTATTGACCGGGCCTCTGAAGCATCTCACTTGTAATGTATTCCCCTCTGGCTCTGTGAATTAGCTTCCATAGAAAGCAGAGAACCCAGACATTTTCTATAGTAGGTTTTGGGTTTGAGACACATTTCAGTGAAATAAACACCTGTCCCTTTTTGTACCAAAAATGTGACTATAGGCTACTTAGTTTCCTTCCTTCTCTTCCAAATTTCAAAGAACAGAATAGTTTAGGAAATACATGTTGCTGCCACTCTCTGTGTGTTGAAGGTCCAGTGTGTAACATTTTGGAATCTATTAATGGTTAGATAAGATTTCATTAGTGTATAATCACCTGAAAATAAGAATTGTTGTGTTTTTATTACCTTAGAATAAGCAGTTTTCATCTACAAAGGGAGCGTGTCCTCTTTTATGGAGTCCGCAATGTTGAACGGCCATGTTTCTACAGAAGCCCAGAACGGACAAACCAAACACTGGCTCTAGATAGGGAATTTCGCATTTTCCGTGGCCACCGTAGCTTCTCCTACCTGCTTGGAAGGTGAGTGGTATTCAGCTGGTTGCAATATGCAACTTCACAGCTAGATGCCACTAAATCCTATGCACTGGCCCTTTAAGTATGGATCTATGGCCAGCAGCCGGTTAGCTTAGCTTAGATAAAACACTGGAAGCCAGGGGACAAAAGGTAGCGTAACTCTGTTCACAGGTAACAAAAATCTCCCAGCACCTATAAAACTTACTAAGTAACATGTTATGTCTCATTTGTTTAATCTAGCCTATCAAAATAGCAAGTGGAAAAACCACAGGTGGTGATTTTATATGGGGCTATGTGCCAGACCAGTGGAGACTCCAGGAAGTCACTAAGCAAGAAACAGTAGCAGTAGTTTACTAGCTGTTTCCGCCTGCTTCCAGTATTTATGCTAAGCTAAATGTACCTTTCTGTAGTTTCATATTTCACAGACAGATATTATTGACATTATACAATAATAAGAAAGCAAAATGTCAAATTATTCCTTTAATGAAAAGGCCTTACCTCTGACATCTCAATTCGTCCATCTTTGTTCTTGTCGAACTTCTGCATGAACTCCTTCATCTTTTCTCTGAATGTGGGGTTTGAAGGGTCCTAGAAAACATGTGTACTCAGTACATGCCTAAGTGGTCAGTATACATTATCTGTGATTCATTTCTGGTCCTTGAACTCACCACCCCTGCTCCTCTCCGGGCCATCTCCAACTCCCTGAAGAAGTTCTCCAGCTCCTTCCCCTCGATGTAGCCATTACCTGGGAGACCAAAACGGCATGTTATTCCCGCAAAGGGCTTTTTTCAGTATTGCTGACATGCAAAAAGCTCATCAGCCCAGATGTGGTCACAGTCCCAGTGTCAAACAGATTGCAGCATGGCTCAGTTTTGCCCCAGGTATTGATTCAAACATGAGCCTTTTACCAGTAACTCTCTTCCTTCCCCTCTGGCTCAATAGATTAGGCTATTGACTGACACGATGCAAACTGATCACTCCTCAAAGACTGTGTGTTCACGGAGGTTGTACGCAAGGAGAAGCTATATATGGAAAATTGCTTTTCTAGGATTTTGAAGGTGATGATCCACAGGCATCTTCTTTTATTCCACAGAGATCAATACTGCCTTCAGCAGGGGAGTTTGGCAAATGGGACAAAATATGGATAAAAGTGAAGTGTGACAATTTCACCCTGAATTTGTGTTTATAAAAATAGACTTGAGAAAGTGATGATATTTTCTCACAAGGAACTGAAGTTTCGTACTATCCTTTTGCTGCAAGCTGTCAATCATTTTGACAGAAAAGTGTCAAATGGTCCTTATACTGAGATGATGCCTATCACATTCTTCTGGATTCTGTCATGATGAATTTAGTTTGGGGAGTTTATTTTCTTCTTATCTTATCTTATCCTTACTCCCGGTATTCTGTTGCTCTGACAGTACTTACTCAGAGGACAAATGAGCATGCCAGCTTCACCCAGGTAGTCTGTAAACCCTTGCCAATATTCTATCAACAAGCATGCTGAATGGCTGGACAGATGGCTCCAAACGATGTGACTAGCTGCTTCAATAAAACACTGGAAGGCAGAGCTGCCTCATTAAACTCTAACAAAGATTATTATGCCATCCACTTCCTCTCCTCTCCCTCTAACTCGCCGTCTCTCTCTGTCATCTTCTCTCTAACTCCCTCTCCCTATCCAACCAACATCTTAGCGTCTTTGTTCTATCCATTGAAATGTGTGTGTGTGTGTGTGTGTGTGTGTGTGTGGGCATGCCTTAGTGATGTTATCAAAACTCATGAATACAAGCCCTGCCTTTTCAATAAGTGGGACAGTAAAATGCCTCGCTACTATCGAGCCTCCCTCCTGTGGGTCTTATTGACATTTAGCACTCTGGAGAGAAATGGCCTGCTTGATAATTAAACAGAGTAAGATGTGATTAACTACAAGGCGAATGGCATAAAATGACAATAAAAATAGATTTATGAATAGATTATGCAGGAACGCTGTCATACATTCAATTAATCTGTTAATAAATCCATACCCCCAATTATATTTGTGCATAAGGGAGCATCTGTTTGTACTGTGCCTATTTGTAGGCAGGATAAGTACTTCATGCTCTAAGCACACGAGCCACCACAATATGCTTAAAGTACCCTATGGTTTTTTTAAATGAAATGCTTAACGTGCTGCAGCCTAATTACAGTGTCCATCATGCATTAAACTGCCAAATCCAGCATCAAGTGAACACATACTCCTCTGTGACACTGAACATCAATGATGCTATATGGGTGCAGATGTAAAAAAAAATAAAAAATAAAAAATAAAAAATAAAAAAAATAAAAATCCCTGCCAGCGGATTCATTTTATGGCAGACTTCAGCTCACTTCCAGATCATTCAATTTAAATGTCAAATAACAAGTTTTATTATGACATAATGAGAGCACTCATACTAACTTACTTTCACATGCGTTGGTCCTTCTGCACAAGCACTCAATGCTTGCACCAACCAGTGAGATAAAAAGCTTAAAAAAAACACTTTTATGCCAAATACACACTCTTTCGAATACTGGGCCTTTATAGTCCCAGGAGACGCTGGTAAAGACGGCTAAAATTCAACCCCAACACAGGAAAACTCTCAAAGTGGGCAGCTGTGCCACCTAAGTGCATATTTAAAGCCTATATAAAGTGCATTTGCCTTTCAAAGGAGAGTGCAGCCCTGTCTATTCAAATATTTTGTATTGAGATCACAGCTGGGTCAGTTCAGGAGGTGGATTTTGCTTCATATTCCAAATTTCCATATCCAGGTTAATCAAAATAATTGACAGCAAATGCTCTATAATTAGCAAAAGGAACTGCAGTTGTTTCCTTTCTCAGCTTTGAAGTGATTGAATTGAAAAGGCCTGACGGAGACAGCAGAGAAAGATGAGAGGGACGCAGAGCGGAGAAGCTGCGAGAGATGCAACCCAGATGAGACTTGAGCCTGGCTCCAACAGGGGAATATGTGGTTTCATCATCTCTGGGTGCATCGCCTCCTGTGTATTTTTATCTGCAACTCAGAGATGTTTACTCAATCTGAGCAAACAAATTAGCTCTCCTTTCTTTCTGCCAAGCCAGAAGACACTCCCAGTAATGAGAGCAGAAATCAAACCCTGTAGCCAAATCTGCTGATGCACACTGGTTGTATTTGATTTGCAAAGTGGCTCCTTGCAAAGCACAATATGTAAAATACCTCCACAGTAGGACTTAAAGACCTGCCTGGTACAAGACGGATATCTATAACCACTATAACCAGGACAAAAGAGTAAAATAACTGATATGACAACCTTTTTGCACACTGGCTCTGAGCTGCTGAGCTCCTCCGACCCCACCCCACCTAACTCCTCATTCCACCTTGATTTCCCTGTGGAATACGTTTAAGCACATGTGCAGGCGTCAAAACAGGTTGCATTAACTTCGCAATGAGTTCCCAGGAGACTAGAACAAAGGAGACTGAGGGCTTTCTGCTGAAAACCGACCAGTTGCAGCCAGGAGAGTGGTCACTTATATGTCCCAGTCTGACTCTCAAAGTTAAGGAACGAAAAAAATGGTCTCCTTTTCAGACTGACATGGACTTGTTTTTCATCAGCTCACAGAATGTCCTTAATCCACAGAGGAGTCTGCAGACCTTAAGTGGAATTTAAGTATGAACATTTCCATAATTAGACTGATGAGGATTTCGTGACAGCAGCAACATAGTGCCTGATGAATGTGTTGGGAATTAAAAAAAAAATCATACTGTCACACTGCCACACACTACACACACACACATACACACAGATATTTTCAGAATGAGAAAGACAGACTGGACTAAAGACTGCCTAAATCTCAACGCAGACAAACAGTGGACTGATGCAAGAAGAAAAGGCACTGATCAAGATTCAGACTGGGGAAGAAACAGCCTATGTGTGTGTGTGTGTGTGTGTGTGTGTTTGTAGTGGTTTAGGAGAGGGGTGTCCTTGAATAAATTAGCACATGGGGAAATTGTATGTTGACAGACATCACATAAATATCACATAAATCCATTTTTTTATACCCGGTGACTTACAGACTGACAGACTGCACTTATTGATGAGACCTAAATAAGCCACTTTTTGATTGGAAACGGAGATCAATACAAGGAGCATAAGTCAGAGCCAATTACTTATAGGTAACATCCAAGCTGTCGATGATTATAGCGTACTGTAACCCACTGAAACGCCTAATTAAATAATGTATTGATTGTGAAATAACACTTTAATTGCACGTTTCAATCAAATTCCTTCATTATTGGAAATGTACAACGTCAGGGTGTCCATGCACCGTGAGAGGAGCTCTCCGGGAGCGCACTGTGAGCTCATACAGTTTAACTGACAGAAGAATAAAGGCTGCATCCTTCAAACTTCCATTTACTCGCCGTCTCATGCGCCGTGCATACAGTTTACAGACCACTCAGGGCTCACTGGAGAGATGCAGATCATGTAGGATACCTCAGTATACAGTCTCTTTTAATAGAATAACTTTTGCTTCACACGAGACATAATGGATCTGGGTCTGTGTATTTACATCAAAATGAAATAATGAAATGAAATTATACAACGTGGTGTCGGGAGTGGTCCTCATCAAAAATTCATTTGACAACTTTTTTAAGCTTCGTAGTAATTCTGCATATCCAAGATATCTGGTCTGACATCAGCTCCTCAAAAATATTAAAATGCTCCTTTTGGCTACTTTATTCATCTAGGACAGGCAGAAGACAGAATGTTATTACTAGTTAAAAACAATTAACAGTCCCTTTAAAATCACCGCAAAATTGATTTTACAAACCCGTATATAGCATTATGGTATTTTTCTCTCTTCCTAAATCTCCTAAATTGTTTTAATGCCCCAAAACGACAAACTTTTGTGCACAGTGACATTGTCTGTCCTTATAACGGTTTTAGGTTTGCAGGAGGATGCGTTATATGCACTCAGAAAAAGAGAGAAACCCTTCACTCAGTCGGCTGCATTTTACAGCACTGACATAAAACTGAGTTATCTTTCATGACCTGTGCGTTTTAAATAACTTTTAGGAATGAAGGAAAGTGTCTTACCGTCAGCGTCGAAATGTTTCCAAATGTCGAGGAACTGGGACGCGGTGACCTCGGCCAGGTGGAGGTGAGGAGGCTGCTGTGGTTTGTTTGCCATGATGCTCTCGACGGATGCTGCTGCAGATCAGACGCCAGACAAAATCCGCTTCTAACTTTTCTGTGCCTCTTGTTCAAACACACCCCACACTGTGGCCCCTGCGCGCCGCCCGCCGCTTTTTAACCCCGGCGCAGGAGCGGCAGCACCGCTGCACCGCCGCTGGGGGCGCACTGCCACCGACAATATCCAACTGAGTCAGCGTCCCTGTGTGTGTGTGTGTGTGTGTGTGTGCGCGCGCTATGTATG